CCCTAAGGCTAATGTGAAGGTTACTGGCCGATCTGCAAAAGGTCCTGACAAGAATGTAACACAAAATGCAGCGAGATGAATGATGAGCACAACTATTATTGGTAAGTAAGAAGCAGATTTGGGTCATAAATATTGTAATGGAATCGGCTGTTTGGTATGAAAACACACACAAATAAAACATTTTTAAATGTTTCTAAAGTTCACTTATATATCTGCAATACTTATATGCCCACCAGTGAGCCACGACCCATCACTTGGGAAGTACCCGTTTTATCAATTAGTGGGGAGAGAAGGAGCGCTGTGTTGAACGCTGCGTTCTGATTGGTCCACACGCCAAACTCGTAAGGCGCAGCGCTCTTATATAAACGCAGGCAGACCTGATGTTGGCTCCATCTGTCATGACATTCAAAGAGACCGTGAGGAGTCCAGTTTAGAGAGACACTGTCGGCACCACTGCTGTACTTGTCCTTCATTATTTCCACACACATCTGTTCTCTTTTCCAGCGCTTTTGGAGCGATCTCTTCTTTATGAAGTGCACACAGAGCAGGCGGCGCCTCTTTCCGCTGAGTTCCATCACCTTCTGTGCTGAGAGGACGATGCCTTTGAGGAGTCGACTTTTCCTCTTGATGGTGCTGAACGCATCTGCATATGAATTGGACCAGAACGAGTCTTATGCGCCCAGGAGAGCACGCTTCTCTTCCAACAGCCCTTGTAAGTATCACGCTGCTCTTATTTGCATATTATCACAGAGTGAAGGCACAGCTTGGTTTTTTTTCTTCCTTTACGCACCATTAATACCTCAGATTCTGTGTGCAAGACTTGCTTTCTTTCTGTCTTTTTGTCCGTCTTATTTATTCTTTGCATTTTTGAAGCCATCGCAGTCTTTTTTGTCTGAGAGAGTGCGTGGATTCAGGGAGAAGGCTGCAGGATTAACGCTGTGGATTTTTGCCGGTGTCCTGCCGGCAACAGATGAGCATTGAGCTTGGTGCTGACACCTGAAAGCTCAGCCTATGTCATGCTGATAGTCTCTGCAGCATTGGTTCAAGCATTCACAATTATTGTGGCATCCAATGGCCCTAATTGATAATAATATTGATATTCCTTATGGAACCTAGATGCCTTATATCAAACTATGCTAAAGCATTGCACAGTCCTTCGTGCGTGGCTGTCATTTCAATTCAAAAATGCAACACATTTAGTTTCAGACAATACTCTATATCTGTTAAGAAATGACATAGCAAAGCACAATGTGGTGTGTCATCATTCAGATATTGACTTTTGGATTGGGTGTTTTTTTGGGTGTTGGGGGTGCTGACTCAGGAACTGCTTCATCATCATATTATTTGAAGAACACTCTCTCTGTATTTGATCTCTAATGACAGACAGCCTAAATCTGACCGTGCAGGTCAAAATAAGGGTCCATGATTAAAAGAGAGATGGAGAGACTTGTGACCTTTAGAGACATGTTGTTTTAATAGATAATACAAAGGACTAGAGGTTTGCCTTTCAAAAATCCAGAATATGGAAATGAGAAGATTGTTCTATTAGAGGATGTGGTGAGAGGAACTTAGTTTCCATGTGGCCATAATTGGTATTTGTATGGAAGATGCTTGTTGCCATTTTCAAAGATTGATTATAGATTGAAGATTTGTGATGTGAGTGGGTGTTTGTCTCCATTTGTTGACTTCTGTTGGACTGGTGACCTGTACAGAATGTGCTTCTCCTCCAACCAATGACTGCTAGGTTTGGCTGTGACTTTACTCAGGCTAAAACAGTTCAAAGTGAAACAAGAGGAATCAGTGATTCATTAATTGTGTAGGTTAATCAATTCAATAATTTCTTCAGTTTCTGGTTGAACTGGGTGGAGGTTATTTGATTAGTGTTACATACAATATGTTTGTGTATTACGTCTAACAGTCTTTGCAGGTAGGAAGTAAAAAGGATTGTGTAACACTAACGTTATCATCTCACTACAAAAACACGCATGTTGCTGTGTTGCTTTGGGGCAATTCTGTCTGTTGCCTCAAATTGTTCGTTAGTGTGTTAAATGATTAAATGTTAATTAAATGTTGATTAAATGTTGTAGTAATGCGACTTATAGGACCATGCTACAAAGTTAGCTCTTAATATTTTTATTTTACTAATGTTTATTCACATTATAAATCCCTATTTCAGCTGGTCTATTGGGGACAGTTTCTATTTACAATGACGACCTGGCCAAGTGGCAGCAGAATGTTCAAACAGGGCACTCACTAAAACTATGCAAATTACACGTATACCACCCCCTGAAGGTGGGGAAGGTGTAGCTCTTCTTTTTTGTAAATTTTTGACCCCCAATTACTTGAAGAACATACAAAATATTTAAAGTAAACTTAAGGTCACCATTTTGATAACCTGATAGTGTCACGTGCGGGCATCGCAGGAAGCAGGCAGGACCCAAATGCAGTACTGGTGAGACTCTTTCTGGTGCAGGAAGTTTTATTAACAAAGTCCAAATTAACGAAACACGAAGAACTAACAGGCATGGAATTCTCTTTGGAACACGCGGAAACACGGAACACGAGGAAACACAGAGTAGGAAACTCACGAACACGAAGATCTAACACAATGATCCAAAAACACACAATGATCCCACCCCGACAGAGTGAGGGAGAGGGGTATATATACACAGGGAACACCAGGTGACACAAGTGAAGCTAATTAACAACAGGTGAGTGTGATCCCAAAGATTACCCCACAAAGACAACAGGAAAACATGGAAACAGACAGACATGACAGATAGATGTGATGTTAACCCTATATCCACGTGCGGGCATCGCAGGAAGCAGGCAGGACCCAAATGCAGTACTGGTGAGACTCTTTCTGGCGCAGGAAGTTTTTTTAACAAAGTCCAAATTAACGAAACACGAAGAACTAACAGGCATGGAATTCTCTTTGGAACACGCGGAAACACTGAACACGAGGAAACACAGAGTAGGAAACTCACGAACACGAAGATCTAACACAATGATCCAAAAACACACAATGATCCCACCCCGACAGAGTGAGGGAGAGGGGTATATATACACAGGGAACACCAGGTGACACAAGTGAAGCTAATTAACAACAGGTGAGTGTGATCCCAAAGATTACCCCACAAAGACAACAGGAAAACACGGAAACAGACAGACATGACAGATAGATGTGATGTTAACCCTATATCCACGTGCGGGCATCGCAGGAAGCAGGCAGGACCCAAATGCAGTACTGGTGAGACTCTTTCTGGTGCAGGAAGTTTTATTAACAAAGTCCAAATTAACGAAACACGAAGAACTAACAGGCATGGAATTCTCTTTGGAACACGCGGAAACACGGAACACGAGGAAACACAGAGTAGGAAACTCACGAACACGAAGATTTAACACAATGATCCAAAAACACACAACGATCCCACCCCGACAGAGTGAGGGAGAGGGGTATATATACACAGGGAACACCAGGTGACACAAGTGAAGCTAATTAACAACAGGTGAGTGTGATCCCAAAGATTACCCCACAAAGACAACAGGAAAACATGGAAACAGACAGACATGACAGATAGATGTGATGTTAACCCTATATCCACGTGCGGGCATCGCAGGAAGCAGGCAGGACCCAAATGCAGTACTGGTGAGACTCTTTCTGGCGCAGGAAGTTTTTTTAACAAAGTCCAAATTAACGAAACACGAAGAACTAACAGGCATGGAATTCTCTTTGGAACACGCGGAAACACTGAACACGAGGAAACACAGAGTAGGAAACTCACGAACACGAAGATTTAACACAATGATCCAAAAACACACAATGATCCCACCCCGACAGAGTGAGGGAGAGGGGTATATATACACAGGGAACACCAGGTGACACAAGTGAAGCTAATTAACAACAGGTGAGTGTGATCCCAAAGATTACCCCACAAAGACAACAGGAAAACATGGAAACAGACAGACATGACAGATAGATGTGATGTTAACCCTATATCCACGTGCGGGCATCGCAGGAAGCAGGCAGGACCCAAATGCAGTACTGGTGAGACTCTTTCTGGCGCAGGAAGTTTTTTTAACAAAGTCCAAATTAACGAAACACAAAGAACTAACAGGCATGGAATTCTCTTTGGAACACGCGGAAACACTGAACACGAGGAAACACAGAGTAGGAAACTCACGAACACGAAGATTTAACACAATGATCCAAAAACACACAATGATCCCACCCCGACAGAGTGAGGGAGAGGGGTATATATACACAGGGAACACCAGGTGACACAAGTGAAGCTAATTAACAACAGGTGAGTGTGATCCCAAAGATTACCCCACAAAGACAACAGGAAAACACGGAAACAGACAGACATGACAGATAGATGTGATGTTAACCCTATATCCACGTGCGGGCATCGCAGGAAGCAGGCAGGACCCAAATGCAGTACTGGTGAGACTCTTTCTGGCGCAGGAAGTTTTTTTAACAAAGTCCAAATTAACGAAACACGAAGAACTAACAGGCATGGAATTCTCTTTGGAACACGCGGAAACACTGAACACGAGGAAACACAGAGTAGGAAACTCACGAACACGAAGATTTAACACAATGATCCAAAAACACACAACGATCCCACCCCGACAGAGTGAGGGAGAGGGGTATATATACACAGGGAACACCAGGTGACACAAGTGAAGCTAATTAACAACAGGTGAGTGTGATCCCAAAGATTACCCCACAAAGACAACAGGAAAACATGGAAACAGACAGACATGACAGATAGATGTGATGTTAACCCTATATCAGGGTTCCATCAGAGCCGGCGACAAGACAAGACAAGACAAGACAAGACAAGACAAGACAAAACAAGACAAGACAAGACAAGACAAGACTTTATTCATCCCACACCGGGGAAATTCACTTGTTACAGCAGCAGGATAGACATGTAGTACTAAAGGTAAAGTAACAGCAGGGTAGACATAGTATTTACAGGGTGATATCAAAATTTAAAGTGACCTGCAAAATAAAGTGACTAAGTTAGTAGTGGTGTGCGTGGAACAAAATAAAAATACAAACAATATGCAGTGCAGTTATGTAAAGGCTTGGCATATGTAAACAATATTGATTGAGGGATTGTAATATGTTGAAAGACCAGAACAGTACTATTGTTGTGCATTAAACAGTCTGATGGCTGATGGGAGGAAAGACTGCCGAAAGCATTCAGTTCTGCACTGAGGTTGCAGCAGCCTGTTGCTGAAAGAGCTGCTCAGCACTCCCACAGTGTCAAACAGAGGGTGAGAGGGATTGCCCATAATGGATTTTAGCTTGGCTAAAATCCTTCTCTCACCCACCTCTTCCAGAGTCTTTAAGGGACAGTTCACGGCCGAGCTGGCTCTCCTAACCAGCTTCTCCAGACGATTTTTTGTCTCTAGAGGTTAAACCACTTCCCTAACAGATGATGGCATAGAATAGTGCACCACCACAGAGTCATAAAAAGTTCTGACACACCCCGAAGGACCTCAGTCTCCTCAGTAGGTGGAGACGACTTTGACCCTTCCTGTACAGAACACCAGTGTTTGTAAACCAGTCCAGTTTATTGTTTAAGTGAACACACAGGTATATGTAATCCTCGACCATCTCTATGTCGTTGCCCTGAGTGTTCACTAGTGTATGGTGGGTTCACCTACGAAAATCAATCACCATCTCCTTGGTTTTGGTGGTGTTGATTTGAAGGCAGTTCACCACTTAACAAAATCAATGATCGCTGATTTATATACTTTATGGTCCCCATCTGATATGTGCCCAACAATGGCTGTATCATCTGAGAACTTCTGTAAGTGACAGTTGTCCGTGTTGTATTTGAAGTCGGCAGTATACAGGGTGAAAAGAAAAGGAGCGAGAACAGTTCCTTGTGGTGCCCCTGTGCTAGAAACTACCACATCAGACACACAGTTCTGAAGCTTCACAAACTGTGGTCTGTTGGAGAAGTAGTTGATGATCCATGCAGTTAGGGAACTGTCTAGTCCTGCCCCTTCCAGCTTCGTCCTGAGGAGTGATGGCTGGATGGTGTTGAAGGCACTGGAGAAGTCAAAGAACATGACTCTCACAGCGCATCCTGCAGTCTCCAGGTGTGACCAGGACCGGTGCAGAAGGTACATGAGTGCGTCATCTACCCCAATTGCTGGACGGTATGCAAACTGTAGAGGGTCCATGGCTGCCTGGGAGAGTGAGCATAGGTGCTGGAGTACGATCCTCTCCATCGTCTTCATCAGGTGAGACGTTAGGGCTACAGGTCTGTAGTGGTTCAGCTCTCTGGGTTGCACAGTCTTCAGTACTGGGACCACAAAAGAGGTTTTCTACAGCGCTGGTACCACCTCCAGTCTGAGGCTCAGGTTGAAGATGTGCTGTATGACAACACAGAGTTGGTCAGCACAGTCCCTCAACAGTCAGAGTCAAACCTGTTAAAAAAAAGTTAAGTTCATTTGCCCACCTCTCTTCCCCGTCCGCAGCTGTACTTCTGCTGTTGTTGCTGTAGCTTGAGATTGTGTTCAGGCCCCTCCACAACCTCCCTTGAATTGCATTCTTGGAGGTGTTGTTCCAGCTTCCTTCTGTAGGCATCCTTCTCCCTCCTCACCTGCTTCTTTACCTCCTTCTGAATTCTCCTTAGCTCTTCCCTGTCCCCAGTCCTAAAAATCAGCTTTTTCTGGTTAAGTAGATTCTTTAGATCAGACGTGACCTATGGTTTATTGTTGGAGAAACACTAAGTTTTTGAAGGGTACAGTAGTTTCCACGCAGAAGTTTATGTATTCAGTAATGCAGCTTGTCAAACTGTCTACACACGTGGACAAAATTGTTGGTACCCCTCAGTTAAAGAAGGGAAAACCCACAATTCTCACTGAAATCACTTGAAACTTACAAAAGTAACAATAAATAAAAATTTATTGAAAATTAAATAATCAAAATCAGCCATCACTTTTGAATTGTTGATTAACATAATTATTTAAAAAAACAAACTAATGAAACAGGCCTGGACAAAAATGATGGTACCTCTATAAAAGATTGAAAACTATTTGACCAGAGTGACATGATTAACTCAGGTGTGTCCTTCAATTGACATCACAGGTGTTTCCAAACTCATAATCAGTCAGTCTGCCTATTTAAAGGTAGACAAGTAGTCACTCTGCTGTTTGGTGAAAAGGTGTGTACCACACTGAACATGGACAACAGAAAGCGAAGGAGAGAATTGTCCCAGGACATACGAAAAAAAATTATAGACAAACATCTTAAAGGTAAAGGCTATAAGACCATCTCTAAACAGCTTGAAGTTCCTGTGACAACAGTGCCTCATATTATTCAGAAGTTCAAGACCCATGGGACAGTAGCCAACCTCCCTGGACGTGGCCGCAAGAGGAAAATTGATGACAAATTGAAGAGACGGATCGTTCGAATTGTATCCAAAGAGCCCAGAACAACCTCCAAAGAAATTAAAGGTGAACTCCAAGGCCAAGGTACATCAGTGTCAGATCGCACCATTCGTCGTTGTTTGAGCCAAAGTGGACTTCATGGGAGACGACCAAGGAGGACACCACTGCTGAAAAAAAATCATAAAAAAGCGAGACTGGAATTTGCAAAAATGCATGTTGACAAGCCACAAAGCTTCTGGGAGGATGTCCTTTGGACAGATGAGACCAAACTGGAGCTTTTTGGTAAGGCACATCAACTCTATGTTCATAGACTCAAAAACCAAGCATACGAAGAAAAGAACACTGTCCCTACGGTGAAACATGGAGGAGGCTCAGTAATGTTTTGGGGCTGCTTTGCTGCATCTGGCACAGGGTGTCTTGAATGTGTGCAAGGTAAAATGAAATCTGAAGACTATCAAGGCATTCTGGAGAGAAATGTGCTGCCTAGTGTCAGAAAGCTTGGTCTCAGTCGCAGGTCATGGGTCTTCCAACAGGACAACGATCCAAAACACACAGCCAAAAACACCCAAGAATGGCTGAGAGAAAAGCGTTGGACTATTCTAAAGTGGCCTTCCATGAGCCCAGATCTGAATCCCATTGAACATCTGTGGAAGGAGCTGAAACATGCCATTTGGAGAAGACACCCATCAAACCTGAGACAACTGGAGCAGTTTGCTCATGAGGAGTGGGCCAAAATACCTGTTGACAGCTGCAGAATGCTCATTGACAAATACAGAAATCGTTTAATTGCAGTGATTGCCTCAAAAGGTTGTGCAACAAAATATTAAGTTATGGGTACCATCAATTTTGTCCAGCCCTATTTCATTAGTTTGGTTTTTTAAATAATTATGTTAATCAACAATTCAAAAGTAATGGCTGATTTTGATTATTTAATTTTCAATAAATTTTTATTTATTGTTACTTTTGTAAGTTTCAAGTGATTTCAGTGAGAATTTTGGGTTTTCCCTTCTTTAACTGAGGGGTACCAACAATTTTGTCCACGTGTGTATGTCCTCCCCGTGTGGGTCACACAGCACTTCCAAGTCTGTGGTTTTAAAACAGAATGTCAGTGTGTATCTTATCATGGACATGTGCATGCAATCTTCTCTGAATATTCATATTAACTGTGGCACCTGTTTAGTTAAACATTCAGAATATTAAAGTGGTTTTAAACCAGAGGGCTGGAACTCAGTTTGACAATCAAAGCCTGTGCAAAATAATTGAAAACAGTCCTGTGGCACCGTGCATTTGCATGCATGTGTGCCAGCGGTGCAAGTGTATGTTTATGTGCGTGTGTCTCCAGGCACGCCAACAGTTTTGTAGGAAACTGTTTGGTATTTCTGGTGTTGTTCATCCAAGCCCTGCTGAAAAGATCCAAACAGTGGTTTACGGATCCCTGCCAGGAGAAATGTGCATAAGTACCAAACAGTATTTGAGTCCCTCAGAGCTGTAAGGTGCCCAGTCTCCAGTCGAGTCACTATTCGCCCCCTAAGGACTATACAGAATGTCTTTTGTGAATCGCGAAAGTAAGATAGTTCTCTTTTGTCCCTTGCATTTTTTGGCACACACCCAGTTGCCCTCATGTACTCGGCTCAGTGAGTGTGCAGTGATTCCCAGTGAACCCTCTGTTGGGCTCCCCTGCTGATGCTCTATTCTCTCTGCCCACAGCAGATGTGGCACGCTGTCTCGACAGTGCCCTCCAAGTTGGCTGCGGAGCCTTTGCCTGCCTGGAAAACTCAACTTGTGACACAGATGGCATGCATGACATCTGCAAGTCCTTCTTATACAGTGCTGCTAAATTTGACACTCAGGTATTTACATGATAACAGACACAGACATACAAATATTATCTCATTCTGTCATGCTTTTTCATGCCTGTTTGAAGTATCATATGGGTGTAACTGACAGACACAGCAAAAGTCAAGCCCTGTGTTCATTCACAGGGTAAAGCATTTGTGAAGGAGAGCCTTAAGTGCATTGCCAACGGCATCACGTCAAAGGCATTCACAACCATCCGTCGTTGCTCCACCTTCCAAAGAATGATATCTGAGGTCCAAGAGGAGTGTTACAGCAAGCTGGATATCTGCACTGTGGCCCGATCTAATCCAGATGCTATTGGTGAAATGGCACAGCTGCCAAGTCACTTCCCTAATAGGTGAGCGCTCACCTCACTGTACATGTACATGCTGCTTTAGATTGGTGTGGAAGAAAAGGTGAAATCTAATGATGAGACTGCAGTGTAAATAAAATTAGATTCTAAGAGGACAAAAGACGTGTGGTTCCTGTGTCATGATTTAAACCGGTAATGACCCAAATGCAGGCTCAGACGACGTTAAGTGAAAAAACAAGGATTTATTTTCTAATTCCACTTCAACAGGAATCACAAGGAACAATTGTTCAAGTCAATCTGGACATTAGTTACCACAGTGGCTGAACAAACGATCTGACGACCAGTGGGAGAAAGGCCAGGGTTTTTATGCCGTCAGAGTGATGGGTTGATTGAAGGCAGGTGCTGAGGAACGGCAGGTGTGCTTCGGTGATTATCCAGGCAGAGAATGAATGTGGTCTGGACCGATGCAGTTATTTGTTTTACTATGTTAACTAGAGTCAAAATAGGCGTTCTGAACAAACAATGCCACAAAAGCTGAAAACAGCCTTTCAAAAATACCAATATGAGGGCAGGGGAGATCTCTACTCGTTGATTTTAAAGGACAAGGAGTCACCTGCTTTATACGTCATGGTTACATTTTGCAGATTGCGTACTCAACTTCACATCTGTGCATACATAATCAAGTATACTGTGCTTCTTCCAACAGTACCGTGCCCAGGAAGAACTCACAGTAGCCATAGAATCCAGATTTTAGGAGGCAAATGTGCTTTGGCATGGAACGATTGGCTAGTGTGAGTGCACACCGAAGCTAGAGATACCAAATAATCATAAACTGTGAACTGTGAAAACCTCATCCTGAATGTCACATAAGTAAGCTCTTAAATGTGTTGTGAATAGAATAGAATAGAATAGAATAGCCTTTATTGTCCTTGTACAGTGTACAACGAGATTTGAGCGCTACTCATTTGGTGCAAAAAAAAAAACAATTGATACTTGTGTCTTAGTAACCACTTGCCTCCTACAATGGAAGCCTATCAAACAGTGGTGCTTAGTGGTTAAGGAAGCGGACTTGGATCTGGAAGGCTTGAGGTTTGAGTCCACCAGCTGCCAAGTTACCACTGAGGTGCTCTGAGCATGGTACTGTCCCCACACACTGCTCCCTGGGCAGCTTAAAGCTGCCCACTGTTCTGTTCAATCATGCAGGATTACATTCTGGGTGTGGATACTGAAGTACAGGAAGAGGGAGAACAAGACTTTGAAAAATCTGAAGCCAGGACGGTCACTCCCATATGGATGACATTACACTGTTAGGGAACATGTCTAAATATATAGCACTAGGTGAACTACCAAGAACATCCGCTGGAGTAAATATACGTACTACAATCTATGCTGTCTTTCTAGGTTTTATGGTAAACTGCTGCAAAGCCTGATGGACTGTGATGAGGACACGGTGGACCGCGTCAGGACCAGCATGGTGTCACAGCTAGCCCCAGAGATGACTATGCTTATTCAGCTGCTGCAAAACAAGCCCTGCCCATCCACTGCTGTGGCTGTAGCTGCCACCATCCCAACTGGAGTGGAGGGTCGTGGGAGCTGGCGCTGGTCCATGGGTCCCCATATGTACAAGATCCAGCCTAATCTGCGAAACAGAGACCCTGCCAGTCATCATTTTGGCAAAAAACGCTCTGCAAGTGACAGCTCTTAATTTCTGCCCATTATAGAAAAAAAAACACCCCAAAAAAAGAACTCCACCTACCCTTTGAAAACGTCACGAAAGCTTCTCTGATCCCTAGAGGAATTAAAAATAAATAAATTATTCCGCTCAACTGGTTACAGAAATACTGTATTGTCCTCTAGGGAATAACCATAGAGTTGATATCAGCGTTTGATTGTTGTTATATTGTATATCCTTCAGGCTTGAGGGGAAAAATACACCATTCCATTGACTGTTTCCAAGTGTGTGTACTCACAATTAGTGTTGAACATGTGGCTGTTGCATCACTGCAACACAATCCTGTTCACAACTCTTCAACAGAGACCTGAGGTCCGTTTCTTGAAGCTGTCTCACGAAACACCGAGTTAATGCCTATAACGATTACGACGCTGAAAAATAAAAAGGCAACAGCGTCACAGCTGCAGAACACAGGGAAAAGACTTGGTAACAGATTACAGATAGAGTGAATGCGTGAGTATTGATGAGAAAGTTATTCATCCTCGTTTATTACAACTGTCCAGAGATATATATTGTAAAATTATCAATATATACAGTATCTCTCTGTGTCCACACCTGACCGTTTTAAATTTTAATCCAGGTTTAACCTGACAAGGATAAAAAGGACTTGACAGCAAATGAATACAAAAATATTGTTCTAACAGGAAAGAATAACTTCTGCCCCTATTGGAAATAAAAGATCAGTATGATCATCATCATCAGACATTAGTTGTCTCTTCATATGTCTGAATGATTCTGCTGCGGTCTGTGGACTATTGGGAAAATTACATTCAAATTACACACGGCAGTTTTCTGTATGAAATTATAATGAACTACTGTCAACTACTGATTTAAATACTGTTTGTATTTATTCATAAGTCTCTTTGCTGACGTGTTGCAGTAGTGATGTACCAATGTCAAATTTGCACTTTTCTTCACAGAGCACTGCTGGAAGTGTGCATTTCAGCGCAACAGCAACGCTCCGCCCACATCAGCACACCGTTGCCTCGAATATGTTCTCAGCATCACCGATGTTTTAAAGGAAACTACCGTTCATAAAAAAGTGCATTACAATGTATAGTATTTGATAATTGAATTCAATTATGTAATGGATTGTGAAGAAAAACGGAAACGCTCGAACAAAATAGGCCAAATAAGGTAAATTAGAAAAGTAAATTGGATGTAGAAGTGCACCGTTGGGGGTCGACTTCATTGGTTTTATATCTTTTTATTTGACTAATACCTTTAGTAAACATTTTCATGAATAATTTAGGAACTCAATCAGTGTTTTACATCCTCCTTAAATGAGAAGGATATCACTTTTGTAAAAACAAATTAAATTATGATCTCATCCAGAGAAAGGTGTATATGTAAATGAAGCTGCAGCTCTAATACAAGGTGTGTCCTGTTGGGCAAAACACAGGGGAAAAAAGATTTATAACCAATTAAATTATGTGAATTCAAACTAAAAAAAAAACAAGGACCATTTAAATTTAAAAAGAAAATCCGTATTATCAAATAGGTCTTTTTACAGATTAATCACAGTAATCATTAACCTTTACTATAGATGTTCCTCAACAGTACATCCTGAGACTGCAGAGTCAGCTTCCTATTCACACCATCCTTATATCCCTGTATAATCAGGTGGTTGCGGACATTTTTCATCTACCAATGCCATTTTTAAATGAAATCACAGTAGTGTGAATGTAGCCTCGTGTTACCTGAGACAGCAATAGCAAGCCCTCTAAAGCAGAGTGGTCATATACAGAGTGGGTCTGTAGAGGTTTCACAATAACCCTTGAGAGGTTACCTTAAACTGAACAAAAAACTTCAAACTGCCCTGAATGCTATTCCTGAAATACGAAAAATAGCATCAAGCTATAGCACTTATAATTTTTTTTTTATTTTCCTGGATGGCAGATGCAGTCATGGTCATGTGTTTTAAAACCATATCCCAGCATACAGAGCATCCAGGTCATGGCAAGTCTGTCTATCAGGAAAAAAAATCATTTTGCATATCTTGTATCCAGACACTTGCTATGGATAAGACTGTTGCACTCTACAGTATACATGGGGCCACATTAGGGGGGGGATCTGTATCCATGTTAATGAGCGATTATGCAAGCAGTTGTGTATGTGCTGTAGCTGAGACTGAGTCTCGGCTGAGACTGAGAGTAGCCATCGTACAGGACTGATGTGACATACACATTGGCTTCCAGTGTCAAGATTCAGAGTTACTATTTAAAAAATAAGCCTTGTTGGGATGATATCTATTTTCCTACTTTATTTATTTATTATTATTTATACAGTAACACTGACCTTGGTAAACAAAACCACCTCATCAGCCAATAACCATCATTCTCCAGTAAATCCTCCAGTAAAGCGTTCCCTGAATACATACTCCCGTCTTATTGCGAGATGTTCTACGCTTCCGCTACTAACATTTCTTCAACACTTGCATTCTTTCACATCCACCAATATAACTGCAAACACGTTTGTGAGTTAATCGTTCATAAGTGTGTCTCTGATGTGCACATCACTCTGATTACTACTTGGTGCATCAGCACCAAGTGTCGCCAAAGGCTGACAGCTGTAGAAACGTGTGTAGGGACCGCACATTTCTACAATCATTTCAATTTTTAGACATCTAAATGTGAGCGTAGAAAGGGGCGTAAGCAACTTTTTGGTGCTTACGCAACTTTGATACATCAGGCCCCAGGTGTCCTTTATCAGGATTTTCTGCATTTGGGAACTTCCCCAATAATGTGCCCAGAAGTCAACAAGCAAAACAAGATGTTCTGTCCTCAAGGAGCGAGAGGGCAGACTATGGTCACTTGAGTTAGATGTTAACCATAGATCGGAGTCATCTCAGTGTTTTAATCCAGACATTAAACACTGACATTGTACCCCAGTTGGGACCAAGGTTTATGTTGCATAACACTTGTGAGGATATTTTGGGGGCATTAGTTGTAATTCTTTCTAAAATTCTCCCTGTCTGCTCCCTGGAACATTTAGGTTGTGTTCTCATAAGACCAGAACAAATATTAGAACTTAGTTCACAGTGGACTTTCATTTTTCCCCCCTCCTGACAGAACTTGGTTCCTCAAACAGCAGTGCGTTATGTTGAGAACAGACAGATGTCTCCTTTAAAGGCAATAAAGACATCCTCTATGAGCATGAGCTCTTAGCCAAATAAAAAACAACTGGTAACTGAATGGGACCAATGTCATGACTCTGTGCTGGCCATGGGGGAACACGGCTGCTCATTTAAGTCAGGTAATTCTACTTTATGGGTGTCACAAGGGACCACAAACAAAACTACAGCTTCATTTTGCCACTGCAGCTGCCAGATGTGATGGTTCAGTGCCCGTATTTCAGTGTGATCCTATAGAGAGTAACACACATTCCCATCCAGTGACCTCACTGACTGAAGGTTCTGCGTCAGTGGTCGGTGGTTGGCTTGTGTGAAGACAAATTAAAAACCTAACTGATGTCATTTATTACCTTCATTCCAGCCTGTCTGTATCTTTAATATCTATGTCGGGGTGTTCCGCAGTAGAGAAAGGGTGGAGCGTCACATGCTGCGTTGTTTCAATTAGGTTCAGATCTCAGCAGTAGAGGTTGTCCTCAAAAGCCTCTGAGCATTTGGCTAGAAATCTGTAATATCCATCTATTACAATCAACATTGTGCACTAAATATGCAACAACTGCCATCACTCAGGACATTGATGGGTGTAGTTTGAGCAGATTGGATGCACAGTGACTGGCACCATTAGCCATTGTCCTTATGGCAGTCATCACATTGAATTTTAACCCTTGTGCGGTCCTTCGCATTTTTGTACACACCGTTTGTCCTTGCAATGATTTTCATCTTGTCCCAGAATATGAGTATTAATGAATATGAGGAAAAGTTGGCACAAGTCATGCAGTACAGGAACATGCTGTTGGAAGAATTTAATTTATTATCATTGCTTCATGCTGTACTGTCGCTTTAAAGAACTGTTTGCTTCTCATATTATAATCTAGTGTGCTCAAGACTGATGGAGAAATTACCAGACACAGCCACACCCACATTCACACCCACCTTCTTACTCCATACCCATTCATATACTCACACACGATCACATGATATGTAATCTGATACTTTTGTAAACTAAATAAAAGAGCAGAGGAAGGGTGCAGCAACTCGGAGTTGATGAGGAAGCTGCCAGCAGAGCAAGCTGC